AAACGAAGACCGCCGTGTTGTGGAAGGCTATTCCGGTTGTGGAATGATAGTGCCAAGGTGGACTTCGATTGGCAGATGAAGGTTGCTGTGAGCTCTTCTTTGGCCTATGGATGTCCAGACCTCACTCCGAGAACTCGATGCACAGGGCCTCGATGCACAGAAACTGTAGGCTCTATGATTGGAAGCCCTGTGCAACCGTTGGGCCTCTGGGATTTGGCAGCAGGAGGGTACATTCGAGGCGCTTGCAAAAGCAAACAAATGTACTACAGGAACAAGGGCATCGCTACTAGTAACAAGGGCATTACTACTAGTGGCGTCTCTAGCTGCTAGTAGTAATACCCTTGTTACTAGTAGCGATGTCTTTGTTACTAGTTGCTTCTAGCTACTAGTAACAAAGGTACCTCCCATGCGGAGCTTGTGCGATATTTCTCGAGCTTGTGCGCTCCGCTGGGCGCCAGGCTTCTTGACCGAAAGTATGCACGCCGCATGTATCTCTGCGGATTGGTCCAGGTCTGTGCAACATGACGATTATGGTGAAAGTGATGGAAAGATATGGAACGATCTGGTTTTGGAGATGTGTTTGTGTGGCCACGATGTGTTGTTATATTGGTGCCACCATGTGGAGGTGCCAACTACTAGCTGCGGGCGATGCATTGGAGCTCTTTGACATCGATCTTGGGCAACGCTTGTGGTGTTTGAGGCCGCATGGCCAGGTTAAGACCCGTGCCTCAGAAGAACGAACCCGCTACTATCGCGAGCCCGCTCACCATCAAAGCGATATACCCATTGCATGACATGAAGACATGACGAGAAAAAACCGCGGGTGCAAGAACTGCACTCCGAACGGCATGCTCATCTCAACAAATCGAGAGATTTGGGTTTGGCACGTCATGAATGCGGGTGTTGTTTCAGGTCCTGGCAGTGGAGTGGCCGGCGCAGATGGCGATCACATGCACCGGTGATCGAATCCAAGCGTGGCACTTGGAGTCTCAAGAATGCACCCAGGACGCATTCTTGGCTTGTATTGGCCGTGTAGTTGTTCTCGTGAAAGGGTGATCACTCACATTCGGCAAGTGCTTCTATGTATGTGTTTGTCAAAGTTGTGAAGGAGCTCCAACATCATGGTCAAATACATCAGCTCTCGATGGACTGGGAGCATCAATCAAAAATGCTTAGTAAGCGGCAACAATTACAGTTGTGAGGTAACGTGTGTGTGTTTCTGGGTTGCGCTCTCGCATGACCTGTGCGACACACGAGTTAGCACATATCTTTAAAGGCCCAGATGGAACTAGCTGCACCACATGGAACCAGCGCTGTCGTGCAGGACTGGCCAGGAAACCGATGTTGAGCCGCAGGCCGCACATCGCAGTCCCGCACATTCAGCGATACCATGGCGGATGCGGATGCCATGTCCTAGGTATTTGTGGCGAAGGCTTGTACAGCTGGATGTGGGACCTTCAGGAGTGATCACTCAGATTGGGCCGAGCTCTCATGGAATTTAAGTAGTTGGGTATTTAATTTTCGTTAATGTTGGGAATTAGAAAGCTACTAGGAGCAAAGGACTCTACTAGGGGCTTTTTCGGAATTCGATCCATTTGGCTCTGGAATGGCCGATCCATTCCACCGCACCCCTTCCACGTGCCGACCCGGTGCACACCGTTAGGACTGGCAGCTGGTTCAAAAGGCGTTGATCACATCAACGCCTTCCCGGTGTGTCATCAGCTGAAGCACACTGAAAGAAACTAGCTTTGAAGCCTGCAGCCAACTGAATCATAAGGTGTCTTTAATTGCTTCTAATGCTGAAATGCGAGGTGTCGCTGAATGTGTCCAGATCCGCGTGCCTTTATGCTTATCAGTGTCCTGAGCCTGCTCCTTAGAAGCTGGCAGAGAGAGGGGAATAAGATAGGAATTGGATGGAATCGGAATATGATGAAATATGTGTCTCACACGTCCGAGGGATGAGGATGAGATGGGGGAGTCCTTGATAGTCTTCGACCTGGTCGAGGGGCGCGAGGTTGTGCAATTGATTGGACACACTGACCATGTCATGTGCGGTTCCATGTCCTGACTGGCAAGTGCCATTTGTGTGTTGCCCTCCAGCCTGCAAAAGTAGGAGTTTCAGGGAGGTGTTAAATGTACAAAGTCGTGGATTGCACAGTTTGCGCTTGGCCAAAGGTGGAAGTCCTGAGTCATGTGTATGCAGTATCTTTGTTGTTCAGTCACTGCTGGTCACTTCGTTTTGATTGCAGCAACCTGGGCCATTTGCATCTCAAGCGTTCGGTCCTTAGCAGAGACACGCGGAGACCGATGCGGTTTTTCCTCGTGCAGAGCTCCGCGCAGCTCCTATGAATGTTCGACAGCGATTGAAGGCTCCGAGAAAACTTTCGGCATGCATAGCATCTTGCTTGCTCTTGAGCGGATCAATAGCATTCACGATTGCTCTTGGGTTCGTGCCCGCACACCGTGGGGCCGCACGGCCACACTACACACGAAGATGTTCTGGTAGAGCCTTGGCAGAGGGCGAGGAATTTCTAGACGAGGGCGAGGGTGAGAGAATATACACAGATGTCAACCCTGCAGATGTACAGGAAGAGGAGTACGCCTTCGATGACTCAGTTTTTGCAGAGGACAAGCCTGAAGACATCGGGCCTGTCCACTATTATGGGGTCACCGATGCTGATGGCGTAGCTATAGTTCCACGACCTGCCGTTGACCTCGATGCATTCACTGAGTCTGATCGATTGTTTCCCGGAGATGTGGTTGCAGCTCAGGTTCCAACCAACGGGAGTGCTGCTCGTTTGCTGGATGGGCGAGGTTGGCTTGAACTGAGTCAACTGGGCAACGGCCTTGAAGAGGTTCAACCCTGGGCGGCCAGGATCATGAAAAAGCCTGGAATTGCCAAAGCCGATGCAGAATCATTGGGGTATTTGTCTCTAGATGATTCCAAGCTCACACCTTTGGCTCAGCATTTGCCGCTGCCAAATCGTGTGCTTGCACAGCTTGACAAAAGAGGTGTCAAGAGGGCATCTCCAATACAAGAGGCTGTATTTTCAGACATCTACCGAGGCAAGAGCCTGTGTTTGCAAAGCCAAACTGGTACTGGAAAGACCTTGGCCATGGTGCTCCCTTTGCTGACTGCCATGTCTGAGGAATCACAGTGGGGCAGCGAAGGGGACAAAATTGTTGTCATCACTTCTTGTCGGGAACTGGCTGTGCAACTCTTTTCGGATATTGACTCCATGGGCTTTTTTCCAGCAGGCAAAGGGTATGCAACCATGGTGATCGTTGGAAATGTACCTCCATCCGAAGCTGTACTGAATGCCAATGTCATAATAGGCACTCCAAATGAACTGGGAGGATTGTTGCACAAGGACAACCAGATCGTGCAACAGATGACCACCAAGCTCCGAGGAATCCTCCTGGATGAGGTGGATGAATACACCACAGCACCTCGGCTTTTTGCTTCCAAGTGGGCGATTAAAAAGAAGAGAAGAATCTACAATGAAAAAAAGGCCGTCTTGTCGGGCCGGCTGGGTGATTTCAATACTGGAGTCATCGAATGGTTTTTGAAACGATCTTTGGCCTATTCTCGCCGGCGCGACCTGCAAGTTCTGGCCGCATCCGCCACCATGAACCGAGCAATGGCACGGAAGGTCCACCGCTTGCTTCGATGGGATCCACTTGGTCGATGGTATCAGGAGCCACCACCTTTGATGAGGCCCACGGCGATGATGAAAGCAGATTGGCAGGCAGTCCCTTTCATGCCAACAGTGCCCTTGGATATCCAGCACCGCTTTGTGCCGGTGGTAGAGGGCAAGAGCACTACTCACATCGATATGAAGCATTGGACACGAAAGCCATTTGCAAAAGGAGGCCTCCCCAGATTGAAGATCAGAGGCATTCGTCAACAGAGGGGTTGGGGACAGCGTCCAGTGGCCGTGGAGAAAGCACAAGCAATGCTGGATGGTTTGCATGATGCGTTGAGGTCACGTCCCAAAGGTTCCGGCTCCGCTTTGGTGATGATTTGCCGAAGCGTTGGTTTGACGGTTCGAAATGCTCTCCAGAACTTGCACCGCTGGGGCTTTCACGAGGCCGAAGCCATGCATGAGGCACTCTGGACTGATCCAACAGATTGGCCGAGTAAGTGGGCCATCAAGTACTCCTACAACCAGAAGGACAATGCTGTTCAGATCGCCCAGAGGCATCAAGAGCTCAACCAGCGGACCAAGAATGCACAACATTTGCCCTTTCCCGTTGGAGGCAGCGCGTGGAAAGCGATGGAAGCTCGAAAGAAGAAAGGCCAGTGCACGGCTCCAGTTCTCGTTTGCTTTGAAGGGCTAGGACGTGGGATTCACTTTGATGGTGTCGACACTGTCTACATTTTGGGCTTGCCACAAAGGCCCAAGGCCTATCTTCACTATGCCGGGAGGGTAGGCCGCCTTGGCCAAAAGGCTGGGAAAGTCGTGTCCATCCTCCCAATGGGAGGTGAGAAAGTTCTCCGGGCGTGGGAGAGCAAGATTGGTCCAGGAGTTCGGTTCGAGGAGGAACCAGTCCAGCGGATTCGGAGCAAGCAGGTCTTCAAGAAGAGCTCTTACAGCCTGCCACTTGAAACCCAAAGAAGCTTGCAGAGGCATAGGGAGGAGTTGAAGGAAGCTGAGAAAGAGCCCCTCTTGTTGCCCGAGCCTGTGGATCCATTCAAGTTACCTGGCATGGAAGAAGACGAGGAACCAGAGCCCGAACCTGTCCAAATTCCTGAGAAGATGAGGGAAGCCATGCGGAACCGAGGTTCCCGTTCCGATCAGACCGTGAAGCGAATCGCTCAAGAAATGCAGCGAGCAACTTCACGATGGCCAGGGCCAAGGAAGGTGAGCCGGTATGTCCCCAGGCTCGAGAGATGGAAACAAGAGAAGGCTGAAAAGGCCAAGGCCAAGGCCAAATCAAAGTGATTTGATGGCAAGTCGCAGGCTGAAGCGCATAGTTGTGTGGATTTGCAGGTCCACAAATCACAAAGTGCCGCAAGGTTTCACGGAGAAAAAGCCTTGCCGCATGCAATGCTGCTGCAATTGTTTAGCGCTATTGTTCGACGCTGTGAATTGGTGTTGGACATTGTTTTTGTTCAAGTTCTCACTCAAATAAGAAAGGCTCGTTTGAAATGTCGTGAAGTGTTTTATCTTGCACGGAGTTTTTGTTGATTGAATCTGGCGTGCGCAGCTGGTTCACTCTTCCTTAGGTTGTTGCAGTGATTTGTAGATGGCCTGTCATGCCGCTATGAGTCTATGAGAGTAAAGCAACGGAAACGAGGCAAGTGATATCTATCAACGTCCATACTGTTCATTTGTTGATACCTTTGATAAGCGTTTTTGAAGCTGCTAGCAAGACAACCACCTTTGACAGGCTGGGTGATCTTGGCTACAGCGTGGCTTGTCTCCAAGTTTGTCACGAAAGCTAGCCTTAGCTAGCTGGAGTTGCTCTTGCTTTAGCAAGTTAAGTGACGGGGTGGACGCACCTCAGAAACCTCAAATAATTGATTAAATCAATCTTATGGACCCCCCCCCCCCCGCGGTTCGACTCCCCCCTGCGCGCGGTGAGCGGGACCACCAAGCAGCTGCAGCACACCAAGCATCTGCAGCGCCCAGCGCAGCAGCGGCAGCAGCAGCAGCAGCATACCCAACGCCGCGGCAGCAGCAGCCGCAGCAGACCACCCAGCGCCAGCAGCAGCAGCAGCAGACGACCCGGCGCCTGCAGAGCACCCAGCGCAGCAGCGGCAGCAGCAGCACCAGCACCAGCAGCAGACCACCGGAAGCCCGGCTAGCTTTCGTTCACCCCCTCTGGCCTCAAGTTGCCTCGCCTTTAGTTGGCAGTTGATATTGGGGTTTCAACTTATTGGATCGAGAGTAGTCGAGAGCGTGTTGCAAACCACTTGGTGCATTTGTGCCTCCAAGGTGTGTGCCCATGCATAACTTTCTGTCCACAGAAACCTGGTCGGCGACATGGTGCACCTTGGCTTGCAAACGCCAAACAAGGACCACACGAAGGGAAGAACTTGAAGACATGCCGCGCCAAACTCACAGACATACGGCATGTTGTGCACACTCACAGGCAAACTTAAATTCGCGGACGTTTACTCATTGTACCCTGTTCCAATTGTTTTTCCGCAGGAAGGCCCATAAGGAATCAAGCAAGTCGAGGAGATGGGCTAGTTGGTGTCTCCAAAACTTTACGTGCCGACTTGAACTGCTATCGGCATTTCTGTTCCAATATGTGCTTGGTGACCTTCCTGTTGAATGATTTGTCATGGAGGAATCTACAGAATCAAATTGTGGCAACTCATGGCGTCAGAAAAGTGATGAAGAAAGAATGTCAAAAGAACAAAAGGTGTTAAGGGAAATGACAACTCATAGAGTCAGAACGCTTTGCGTTTCTCCAACCCGCGGGAAGCGCTGACAGATGAGGCACACGGCCGCCGTTGAATTCCTCTTTACACAACAAATGTACTTTGGTCACTTGCTGAAAACCTTTGTTTCACGTGTTTTGTTCAAATCTTACACCTCTTCTTTCAAAGAACTTTCCTTGTGCTCCGCTTCAATGATTCCCCACGACATGTCACATGTGACATGTCATGCTCCAGACGGGTCATCTACTGTAATGCCATCTAACGTCCAGTTTTGCTTCTTCATGCAGAAGAAGAAAGCGAAAGAAACAGAAGAAGGACAGACCTGTTAGTTTTCAGAAAGACAGAGGTCATCAGAGATACAATAAGTTCCTTTTGCGACAGGCTGCTCAGACTGGAGATGAAGAGAAGAACATCCAATCCATTTGAAGAGACGTTTCTTTGTGTTCATCCCTGCGTGTCCTCATTGTCCGATAGGTCTTTATTTTTATTTTTACTTCTTCGTTCCCCCAAAACTCCTGACAGGCTGATGCCTTGACTTTGGCGCGACGTCAGCTGACTTTGGCAACGTCAGCTGAAACTTGCTGCAGTACAACTGAACATGGCAGCGGAGGACTGGCAAAAAGCCAGGGGAACAGGAGATGAGCAGAAAATCAGGGAGGCGAAGGAGGAGGAGAAGGTCCAGGAAGCCAAGCAGGAGAAGGTCATTTTCCTGCACACCTCACTGTGTTCACACTTCTTCCGAAAGATGCAAGAACAAATCACGAAAGGTTGCCCTTTAGGGGATACCTTGAGTTTGTCTTGCGAAGCAAGTGTTGGGACGTCCGGGTCTAATAATTGATCGCTCAATTCAGACCCCCCCCCCCTCGAATTGATTTTTGCAATACAGACCCCTTCCCCCCGCCCCCTTGGAATTGATTTTTCAATACAGACCCTCCCCCCCCTCCCCCCTCTAAAATCATTTCTCTCCTGGAGAACGTCTTCGTGAGCCTCTCATGATTTCAGGATAGTTGAAACCCTCTTGAACATTCAGAAAGAGTGACGAAGAGTGAATATGAAATTCTAATCACGAAAGGTGTTCCCCGAGGGGATACATACCTAGAGTTTGTTTTGTGAAGCACGTCAATTCTCTCCTGGGGAGCGTCTTCGTGAGCCTCTTATGGTTTCCGGTAGTTCAAATCCTATGATGTTCCGATTCAATGCTCACCGATGATCTGAGCCATGGGGCAAGTTTGTTTTCCTAAGAATCTTTTTGAACATTTCGAGAGCATATGTTTGAACATTTAGAGTGCATATGAACATATATTTACGAAAGGTCGCCTCCGAGGGGATAAATCACCATGTCGAACATTGCATTTTTGTTCCTGCCTCTCGCGTTCTCTTCTCTTCCCGCTGTCCTACCTTTCGTGTCTCCCTCCTCTCAAGTTAAAGATACTTCACATATTTTCGCATTCTGATCAAAGGCTTCTGTTTCTTCACTCGCTTGGTCCATGGATACCCTGAGTACGCGTCCAAAAGATGAATGAAGCCCAGAGCACAAGCAAAGCGAACAAAGAGGATGGCAAACGTGATTGAAGCAGCCAAAAGAGTCAGTAACGCATCTCTCACTTCTGAAAGACTTCGCCATGCACATCCACCTTTCATAAGTAGTCACAAGTTTAAAGGGTATTCCGCAAACAACAAGGTTATATAAGGGGGCTCGTTCTCTGTTTTCTCGAAGGCCATCTCACTCGAGACGTGTCAGGACTATGTGCTGTCGCGGCACGATCCGCTCGGCACCTCGGTCCGAGGATCGCGAAAAAAAAATGGGAGGCCCAAAGGCAAGCAAGGATTGGTGGCAGAGCTGAAGCCAGTGATGCAACGTTTGGTGAACACCTCCTGGCCAAGGAAAGTCACGCTTTTTGCAGGAATCGCCTAGGCTCATCGAAGAGACAGGCGAGATGGAGAAGATCGAATTATATATCCGTTTGGCTCACCTTGGCCTTGGAGAACGGAGAGGCCTTTAGAAGATGTCATTGTGGCGCGGATGCCGTGGCAGCTACTTCAGCGATGGAGGGAGTTGGGATGGGCTGAGGCCAACTTGCCTGCATTCTCATTCGAGGACTTTTGCCAAGCCATGGGGGCCGGGAAAAACATGATGACATTTTGAGAGCCATGAGCACTTGATTTCTGTTGGCATTTCATGGGATGCAACAATTGCCGGGCTCACCCGAAGACAAGGGTTCGTTATTCAACGAGACCATGAGAAGGGTGTGCTCGCTGATGAATAGCAGAAACGGTCCTGCTATGGTGTAAGTCGGAATGACGATGGCTCTTGACAATCCCCAAGCACGACACTACGTCACCTTGCCATTGGTGGATGAGGTTTGCGGCAATGAATCAGCAGTGTTTAACTTCACAAAGTAGATGTTATAGAGCTTCTCGACATGGGAGATCAGGGCGCCTTGGAGGCTTTTGGAAGAGGCGGCCAGAGAATCTACGGAGACTGTCGACCTGGTCATGTCTGCAGTGCGCAACAACCCCATCCCGGGAGGCTGCATTGTTTGGTCCTTTAGTTGCCAGGCACTGAGCAGATTGGCGAGTATGCTCTGGCTGCAGTCGGTAACACTTGACAACCAAGAGCGGACACATCAGCGAATCCAACTCCTACATCTGGATCTACTCGTACCTCGGAGTGCTGTCGGGTCGTCGTTTCTTGGGCACATGGAGCTCCTGCCCTTCTTCGAGCTCTGAACCAAGTGGAGATCGTGAGTTTGCCTTTGAAGCAAGCAATAAGCAAGATGAGACAAGCGAAGTGGAAAAAGCAACCAACCATGCTGGCAACGCAATCAATGTGAGCGAAAGGGACGGCGATGTTTTCTGACTTTGCCACCCTGTTGCCCAACCAGAGATTCATTTAAACATAGTCATTTTTTGAC